TGATGGTGGTCAGTGAACTGGGGGTGAGTTGTAGGATGATATGCTGAGGAGGCAGAATGTGAGAATATAGAGTTAGTATATCTTAGGAAGTGTGAAAGAGAACTCTAATGAAGAGGATTAGTAGCAGGAGAATGGACAGTAAGTAATTTTGAGTAGACAAGTACATGGGAAGACAATAGAGTACATAAAACAAACACAAATGTATTAAGAAAAATAAAGGATGTTAAAATAGTAAAAATTGGAGGAAAAAAAGAAAAAAAAAAGACATATACTATACAGGTATAATATACTATTCACATGTTCCAGTCCTCAAAATCCTAATTCATACAAAGTTCTTGGTTTCACATACGTTGGGGATATGATGTGGGAGAATAGAGGGGGAGAAGAAAAAGAGAACAACAACAATAACAACAACAACAACAAACCTAGAAGAAACCAGGATTGTTAATTGTTTTGGTTGGAGACCAGTATCTTTCTTGCTTCCCTTCTCATCCAATAGGTGGGGTTGTCTGTTGTTAGCTGGTATCTCTGCCATCAGGATGGTGAAGGTAACCAGGATGGAAAGGCTGGTTCTGGTGCAAGGCACATGGAAGTGAGTCCCTGGAGGGAGACTGCACCTCAAGGGTCTCTTTTGGGTCTGCTTATATGACTTGAGCGCCCGGTCCTATCTCCCTATTTTGCCTGAAGATTTCCCAKTTCCTCTTCTCTTTGTTAGTTTCCAAACTGTTGCACTCTCTCTCTCTCCCTTTGTAGTTCCTAATTAAGGGACCCCTCTCACCATGTCTCCTGTGGGCAGCGCCCTGGTCACACTGCTTACCCGTCCCACTGAGAGCTGTTTTGTGTTGGGCAGTTACTGTGATGGGTTACCGGCTGGTGGGGAGAGGGTGGAGTTGGAAACCGGGTACCTGGCCAGCTGGAGTTCCAATTTGGGAGCTGCCCTACCAAAGATGTCAAGGAAGGTGACCCAAGATGCAGGCGGGCTGCTTCCAGGGTCAGGGTGTTGGGTCGGATGCGGGGAGCCCGCAATGGCTTTGTGCGATGTGTTCAGAGATGAGCTCTGTGGTGTGCAGTGTTGCAGCTTTTGGCTGTCCTGGGAGCCTGTAGGATGTCTCCAGGTGCAGGTAGACTACTTCGTGAAGGGACTATGGCAGTAACTGCCAAGTCACAAGATGGAGACGACTGGGGGAGCCCCACGTTGGTAGATGGGGGTCCGCAGGGGAGTGGCGGCCAGAGTTCCTGTGGGTGGGTAGCAGCTGAGTGCCCTCACGGGAGCAGAGTGGCGTTTGGGAGTTCTGCGCTGGTGCTGATGTGGTGATCCTGCTAAGGCACTTGGGAGCCCTGTGTGGGCTAGTAGTTGGGAGTTGGGTGCAGGGAGTCAGGAGTCCTGCTCTAACACTGAGGCCTTGAGCCATGCTGCAGGCACAGCGGGAACAGCTGTGTTGGGGTCCTGTGTCACTGTCAGAGAAGCTGTAGTCCCACTAGTTGAGACCCAGGTCATAGAGCGTCACAGAATGCTGCTTCCCTCTGGCCTGCCATTTGGATCGCCCTCCTGTTCACTCTTGAGGCCAGTGCCTGTCTTTAGCTGATGGAATAAGTCTTGTAATCATTCAGTGTGCTTTGCCTCTCTTGCTATAGTCTGATTCTCTTGAAGGCAGTGACCTCATGCTTCATCTTTGCATTTGTGGCTGTAAGCACAGGAGCTGGCCCTGAGGAAATGTTTGCTGATTTGAAGCAACGGACAGGTCTAACTTTGATTTTAGCCAGTGTTTTAATAAGTGAAAAAAAATTTCACACTATATAGATTTTGATTTTCTGCAGTCACAATTATTGCAAGATTGAAATTGGGAGACTGGAATTTAAAGGTTTGTATATGAAATATTTCTTCACCTTTGGTTAAAAGAAGGAAATCCTTTATGGTTTGTTTTACTTTGTAGTATTTAAAGTCATGATTTATTTATAAATTTGTCTCATTTATAAATTTGATATGATCCTGGCTTATGATCAACACTTTTTTTTGTGTGTGTGGTATCAGGATTGAATTCAGGGGTATTCGACCACTGAGCCACATCCCCAGCCCTATTTTGTATTTTATTTAGAAACAGGATCTCACTGAGTTGCTTAGAACTTCACTTTTGCTGTGGCTGGCTTTGAACTCGTGATCCTCCTGTCTCAGGCTCCAGAGCCACTGGGATTACAGATRTGCGCCACCGCACCTGGTTATGGTTGACATTTTGACTTGGATCTTATTGCAGACTTCATAAAATATAAAAGAGAAGTTTAGATTTTGTAGCATCAATAACTTAATTGTGACCTTAAGCCAGAGACTAGTTGAAAGAAACTATTTAGATAGATAATTAAGCAAGTTGAGATAGGAATGGCCTAGAATTTATAATAGCTAAATCTTTAAAAAAAATCTCTTACTTTTTCTTTTCTCCCTGTCTTTAGGATTTTTGTCCCTGAGTCATGGAAGACAGAAGAGCTGAAAAGTCATGTGAACAAGCATGTGAGTCACTGAAGAGGCAGGACTATGACATGGCCCTCAAGCACTGCACAGAGGCCCTCCTTTCTCTTGGCCAGTACTCCATGGCAGACTTCTCAGGGCCATGTCCACTGGAGATAGAACGCATCAAAATCGAGAGTCTTCTTTACAGAATTGCCTCATTTTTGCAACTGGTGAGTTAACACTGTTGGCATGCCAATGCGGAACTGGGTAAAATGGCCCTTTTTGGTGAGTCAGGACTATGGCTGGTTATTCCTGTACAAATCAGCTAATTTTGACTTGAAGAGATATGAATGAAGTGCCTGGTAGTTTCGGAATATMTTTGATGGTTAAAACTGTTTTTAAACTTAGAAAATTGTGCTGTGGTGCAGCATTTTGAATTATTCACTCATTCCACTAATATTTACTAAGTGACAAGTATTTACTAAGTGACAGTGTGTACCACATACTTCTCTAGGAACTTGGTGAATGTACTGATGAAAGAAGATTCCTTCTTCATTATACTTTTTCTAGTAGGGGGACAGACAAACAATAGCTACTATAAATAAAACATATAGATTAAACATGAGAAAAGGAGAGCAGGGCAAGGGAGTACCAGGGTTGGACATAGGGGCAGCTTAAAATATTCAGTGATCAAGATAGGCCTACATGGGGCTGGGGATGTGGCTTAAGCGGTAGCACGCTCGCCTGGCATGCGTGCGGCCCGGGTTCGATCCTCAGCACCACATACTTTCTGAGGACTAAGGAAAAAATAAATAAATGTTAAAATTCTCTCTCTCTCTGTCCCCCACTCTCTCTTAAAAAAAAAAAAAAAAAAAAAAAAAAAAAAGATAGGCCTACTGAGAAGGAGGAGGCAGGGCTGAGCCACAGGGAAAGCTGGAGGAAGAGCAATACAGGCAAAGGGAACAGTCAGGCAAAGGCCCTGAGGCAGAAGCATGCCTGCCATGTTTGACAAATAGCTGGGAGGACATTGTGATTGGAGTAGGGTGTGCATACCGGAGAGGAGAAAGGGCAGAGCCTGTGGTCTTATCCTAAGGACTGATTATTTCTGCGAGGCAGGGAGCTATGGCAGCACTTTGAGTGGAAGAGTGGTATRGTATGATTCAGTAGGAATTATGTGACCTTCGTTGAAAAGAGATTATTAAGGAATAAGAGTACATGTAAGAAGACTAGTTTGGAGACTGTTAGAATAATCTAGGCGAAAGATGACAGTGACTCAGCCCCAAACAGTAACAGTGGCGATAGTGAGAAGTTGGTCTTTTGAAGGTGGAAATGGTCAGGTTTGCTGGGTGTGGGAATGAGAGAGAGAGCTGTCACAGTCACTTGCCTCAATTAGAAGAATGGAACTTCCTTCAGCTGAGGTGAGAGACRGTAGAGGGGAGCAGGCGTTGTGAGCTCACTTTTGGACCTCTGGAGTTGGACATGTCATTTACTATCCTGCGGGAGGCATTGAGTGAGCGTTCGGGTGTGCAGGCATAGAGTTTGGGAGAGTCCGTGGGATACAGTCTAGAGCCTGGGTGAACAGAGTGGATAGAGAAGAGAGGACCAAGGCTTTGGTCTTATGGTACCACAGGGTCAAGAGGTTGGACACAAAGTACCACTGACAGAGTGGGCAAACGTTCTCCACTATCAGTGGCTACCACTGGGCACATGGCAACRTGTCTGAACGGGCTGTGGTGAATGTAGCTGTGGATCTGACTGGAGTAGACAGAGGAGCAGGAGTTTAGACAGGAGCAGGAACAGGGTTAGTGGGAAGCGGGTAGATGAGGTAGATGAGGTGGTAACAGTCTGGAAACTCTCTCCTCACGGCTCCAGTTTTCTCATTTAAGCTTGGAAGGAACCTGAGGCTAGCTGAAGTGAAAGAAGGTGAGAAGTCTGGGTGGGGGTCAGTGGACAAGGGAGTTGTGCCAGTGTGTGTGTAGAGTCTCATTTGTGTAGAGTGTTGTGTGACCCTCTCTGAACACAGCGTTAGTTCTGCTCTGTGAATTAATGGGTTAAATTTATAACCTTTGTGATTCAACTTTGAGACAAAGATGAGCTTCTCTTTGCTAACATCTTTGTTGAAAGCGGTCCTTGGGCCAGGCATGGTGGTGCCCGCTGGTAATCCCAGCGCTTCTGTAATCCCAGCACCTTGGGAGGCTAAGGCAGGAGGAACACCAATTCAAAACCAGCCTTAGCAAAAGCGAGGCGCTGAGCAACTCAGTGAGACCCTGTCTCTGAATAAAATACAACATAGGCCTGGGGATGTGGCTTGGTGGTCGAGTGCCCCTGAGTTCAATCCTTAGTAACAACAACAACAACAAAAAAAAAAGCAGTCCTTGAACTACTTAATCTTATCTTGTGTCTTTTTATTTTGCAGAAAAACTATGGACAAGCTGATGAAGATTGTAGGCACGGTATGTTTAAAACCGGTACTCTTTTCTGATTTGAAGATTTTGAATTATTTAATTGAGCAATCTTTAAGGTCCGATTTTTTTTTTTCATTTGTAATTTCAAAAGCAATTCTGATATTAAAACCTCCCGCCTTACTAGAGACTGGTATGAATGAAGCTTTCCTGCCACAACTGGTATGCATTTAAACACTGCTCCTACTGCTCCTACTTATGAATATTGATGTTTCTGTCCACTTCCCAGGAGCTTTGACGATGTGTGCTTTTAAATTTTGTGTGAGTAGTTCTAGTCAGTAAGAGCCCACAAGTAGCATGGATGGATATGAATTATTAAGCTTGGATACATTGAAAAGAAAGACTCATCCCTCCTGAAATATTTTCATTAATCAGGAAATTTTCCTTAGAAAGTGGTTAGAACTTTTTCCTGTTTTCTTTTGGGCAGGAAATCGAGATTTATAATAAGATTCTTGTTCTCTGAGTATCCATAATATAGTAACCCTGTTCTTCATGCTGCCGTCTCACTASAGTGAGTGAGTGTAGGAGCAAGTGGGAGAGGAGTTCTGTACATGTTCTCACACACTCTTGGTGGAATTTTTTGCACAGCTCAGTGACTTGGATAATATGATGTTTCATTTATCCAGCGTTGGACGTTGGGGCCAAGGTGTTTGACATAAGTTAATTTTTTCCCTTCTTACTCTGTTGTGTCAGCACTTCAAAAAGTATTAAGCATTTTTGTTGTAAATCTTACAAAACTATATTAAGTATTCCTGTGGTATATTGAACATAATTCAGCCATTCATTAAAGATCAGCTACCTCTCGGTGAGCCTTGCTTCATAATGTTGTAATAGTTTGGGAGTTAAATAAGAGATATCCTGTACAATATTTCTTTAAAAAAATTCCTGCTATCTTTAGACATTAAAAAAATACCAATAGGCAAATAATAATAATTCAAATAATGTAGAGAAAGAATTATGAATAAAGAAATGATTTCTCTTTCTTCCCTCAACCTGAAGAAATATTATTATAAGATTGCTATATCTTCTGCAGCTTTCTCTGTAGTGATAAACACAAATGCTTATAAATAGGGCTTCTCTTTTAAAAATTAAAAAAAAAATAAAAATTTGTACCGCGATCCCAAAGCTGCTTGCTTGCTTATATATCAGTACATCCTGGATCTCTAAGTATATACATTAGCTCCAGTTTCTACTTGATATTCCCTGGAGTGGGGCTGGGGTGTAGCTCAGTGGTATAGCACTTATCTGTAGAATATGGGAGGCCCTGGGTTTGATCCCCAGTGCTGAGAAAGGGGAAAAAAAAAATCCTTAGTATGGATGAGTTATAACTCATGAGCTTTAACTATTTTCCTGGATGAGCTTTTACAGGATTCCAGTTTTCTCGTCTGTCTTTATAAACCATCTTGTAATGAACATAAATTCTTCCTTATTATTGCCTTTGTTTCTGTAACATAGTACTAGAAATTGGATTCCTGGGTTAAGGTGAGTGTGCACGGACAGTTTTTATAGATACATCAGATCAGTGTCAAATGCACACACCGCCAGCAATTTATCTTTCTTTCTTTCTTTTTTTTTTTAAATTTATTTTTTATTTTATATACTTTTACTTATTTGTTTTTATTTTTTTTACATGGTGCCGGGGATTGAACGCAGTGCCTCATATATGCTAAGCAAGTGCTCTACCACTGAGCCACAACCCCGGCCCACCCTCAGCAATTTAAATGAGAATGCCCATTCCTTGAAATCTCACTAACACTGAAACCTACCAGTCTTGAAATGTTGCTATTTCATGTCTGAGAAACAGTCCCTCTTTCTTTAATTTTTACTTTCCTGACTACTAGTGAAGTTGATACAGTCTTCTCATTTTAGAGATAATGTAAGTCAAGGTCACAGAAAGTTCATAACATGAAAAGTCACAGAAAATGAAATGCTTTTGGTGAAGGAACATAGGGAAAAGAGTTGTTTTTTTTTCTGTTAATTGTATTATTAAATATTTTAAAATTAGGAATTACCTATATAAAGGTTGAACCAGTTCTAAGATGAAGTGGTCATGGCAAGTCTGATCTGTGGTGTTGAAGAAGTGTGCGGTGGAATGCAGCTTGGTGTAATACATTCACCCCTTTGACCCACAAATCTCATTTCTGGGATACTATCCCAAGTAAATAATCTGAAAGAAGGAAAAAATTGTATGTAGAGTGGTGTTCATTGAAATACTGTGTGTAGAAGTGAAAAATTGATGAGCTTGATTTAGGGAGAAGTTTATTAATTATATTCTATGCACTCCTTGTTTATAAAAATGTGATAAGAAGTTGGAAAGTGGTCATTTTTTAAAATATAAAGCCATGTATGTGAAGTTGGTAGATTGAAATAGTTGGGAATATTGGCCAAGGTTTTTTTTGTAGTTATCGAGTTGTGATATTACATGTATTTTTTTCTTTTTAACTTTCAGTAATGTTATTTTTGTGTAAGAAAATATGCTATGTGGTTGGTTAGTTAGTTAGCAATAAAAAGCAAGACAAGAATCTTGGTCTCTGTTAATTATTGCACTGCTTTGTTACACTGAGATGCTTCCAGGGTTAGCTTTGATAGCTCCTATCTTGAGTCCCCCGGACCATTGACTTGCTTTGCATTTTATGTGCAGTTTGGTCTGGTTGTGTATTTTCTTTCTTCGGGGCTGCTGTTTGCGTTTCTTGCAGCTCTCAGCATGCCTTATTGCAGCTGCCCTCTGCCCTTCTCTCCTTTCTGCTTCTGACCTACTACAGGTTAGGAAATCAGCCCCGAAATCTTTGTTGTGGAATTCAAAAAATGCTTTTTAATTGTGAAAAATTTAAAATATACAGGAAAGCAGAGGAACTARTATAATAAACACTCATATTCTCAAAACTGAGTTTGAACAATAAATGTTCTGTCCATATTTCCTATATTGTTTTCTTAAATAACTGTAAAGTAATCATAGGCATTATGACATCTACCTCTAAATACTTCATTTTTTATTATCTCTAAAAAAATAAGACAAAGCTACAATATTTTAGCCTAATAAAATTGACAATAATTCCCTAATATTATCTAAAACCCRGTCCATAATCAGATTTACCTGGTTGTCCTCCAAATACTTTTATGGCTGATTTGTTTAACCAGGAACTAATCAGAGTCATAAAATTTTGAAGTTGAAATTCTACTTCAGTAAGGGAAAACAGGCCCTGGTACCTAGAAAGATATATAAATATCATGTCTTAATTTGAAAAAAAAAAAATTCTGAGCAAGGACTCAATGGCATCTAGAAAATAAGTACATAGGCAATGAGTTCATGGATCTTAGTCCCAGGGTCAGTGGTGTGTTGTGAATGGTTAAGGTGGCAAGCCAGCTATCACTTGTTTAGTGAGATGCTTAAGTCAGTTTTCACTATCAGAACATAAAACAGGAAAATTTTGGGGAGATTATAATTGGTTTTCCGCCCCTGAAATAATCATTATATATAAAACTTATTTTTTATATTTAYAAAATGAATGAAATAAATGGAGAAAATGAAGTAAAAAAATAATCTCACCAAGACATGTAATGTATAGGCAAAACTTCAGCCTAAACATAAGGCTTCAATAGTTGAAGAAATCCATCATTACAAGTTCATTTCAGTTTATTACTTGACCTGTGAGGTAAATGATTCAGTCACCAATAGCCCCTAATAAGAGGCTAACCCATGACCTGTTAAATTGATAGGTGATTGAATGAGCCTGCTATACTCTCTTTGGGAAAAAAAGTGGAATCTTAATTACTTTCTTCTCAGGAGAGTTTTGATTAAATACAGGTAGTCCTAGACTTACATTCTACTTGTTATTTTTTTGACTTTATGATGATATGAAAGCAAGAGACACACATCTGTAACCCTAGCGACTTGGGAGGCTGAGACAGAAGAGTCATAAGTTCAGAGTTAGCCTCAGTAAGCAACTTAGAGAGACCCTGTCTCAAAGTAAACAATAAAAAGGGCTGGGGATGTGGCTCAATGGTAAAGCGCCCCAGTACCTTCTCCCTGCCCCTACCAAACAAACAAACCTCMAACCAAAGAACTCCAGGGCYTTGTGCATACTAGGCAAATATTCCACCACCAAGCTACATTCCTAGCCCTGAATATGGATTTTGATTGTTCTCTGGGCTAGTAATGTCTTGTCCACTAATGTCTCATGATGCTGGCCAATAACAGTGAGCTGTAGCTCCCAGTCAGCCTTGGGATCATGAGGGTGAGCAGTGCATTACAGCGTGCTGTGGTGAACAGATGTGATGTTGGCTAGGTCGGGTGTAGCAAATGCATTTTTTTCTGTGATGCTAGGAATGGAACTTAGCCTTGTGTGTATTAGGCAGGTGCTCTACACTAGGCTGCACCCCTAGCCTTTAAATGCCTTTTGGATTTACATTATCAATTTACAGTGGGTTCATCAGGATACAAGCCCCTTATTAGTCAAGGAGCTTCTGTAGTTTTAATGATAATTACAAAAGCTTCTTTCTGGAAATATATGTAGTTAATGGGATAACAGTATTTACACTATATCAGTCTTAGGCCCCCTGAAATGTGTTATTTTATTTAATCACATCGTGTTTCTAGTTTTACATATGAGGAAACAGGCTTGTGAGATTAAGTGGTTGAAGAACACAGAGCCAGTCCATAGTGGATGTGAGGTTCCCAAGTGAGGATTTTTTGCTCTGAAAGGCTACCCTGCTACTTTTTGTCCTCTGTTGCTGCCTGTATGAACTTTAAGAGTTTTACAGACATAACAGAGTTTGAAATTCTACAATAAAGGGGCTGTTCATTTATTTTAGAAATGAAAAAGTTGAGGCTCAGAATTATTTAATCATTAATGAGGCGGAGATAAGAATTTGGGTCTTCACACTCTTAGTTCACCAGGCTTATATTTTACTTTTTTGTGATACTGGATCAAACCAGAGCTTTGCACATTGCCACTGAGCTACATCCCTAGTCCTTTTTAGTTTTTATTTTG